AGCCAAGTCTCAATGACAAAATCTGCAAACGCCTCCTTGCTGTATGACTTCTTGTTAGTATGATTGTTGTTAGTATTATTATTATTGTTCTTGTTGCTGTTGTTGATGTTGCTATTCTTATTGTTGTTCTTGTTATGTTTATTCTTAGAGAGTAAGATGCATTGCAGGACCGTGTGTTGCACACGAAACACGTGCATGATACTGTTTTCCATGCTTTTGCTCTAATGTCACCCCCCCCCCCCCTGCCCCAAACAAAAATGCTCAAACACACTTCTTTAAAAAGCCCTCGGGAAACAGTATGTTTATGTTTAACTGGAGATCTTCGAAGGGACACGCCTTTTCTTAGTCAGAGAGAGTGTCTCTTTCTGTACTATTCTTGGTGCTATTGTTTACGGTTAGTATTGTTGGTATTGTTATTGTTGTTGCTGCCGTTTTTGATATGTTTATTACGCATAATACATTTCTATATAATATCTCTATATACTTTATATACTCTGTACATGTAGTACTATGTATGCTACTCTCTATTGCTATACTAACATAGTACTGTATCGATTTACCATTCTATGTACACATGCATCCTCCTCCCCTTGGAACCCCTCCTTCTCCTCCTCGCTGTCGGAGTCCTCCTCGATCTGGACGCGCCTGGCCATCGTGAAATAACCACTCACACTATGGTAACCAATGTTAACAATTCCGAATTTTTATATTCACAATATCATGGTATTACTCTGAATATGAATGTGATATTGCTATGAAGGCAGTCGTCACCGCCCAATGCCCTGCCGGGCGGGCGTATAGCCAGGCCGCAGAGGTGTGGACGCCTGGGAAGGCCGCGGAAGATGTGAGCTCTTAAGACTCTTGATGGTTTAGGGTTTAGGGTTTAGGGTTTAATTAGGGTTTAGGGTTTCAAGATGCCTCCGAGCTGAAGAGTATGGGACTCACACATGTTTTCCCTGGGTTTGTAAGGGCTTCGAAGGAGTTTAGGCCTCTTGGCTCAGGCGTCTGTTTGGGGCCAGCTGCCCAAGTTCTCGCAACCCGAGACGCACACATCAGGGGGTAGGCCAAACCCTAAACCCTAAACCCTAAACTGTTCTTGGTCTTCATCGTAGTACTCAAAGCCCTAACGCCGGCAGCTCTGGAGCCCAAGCGACAAGTTGCAAGCTACAAGGTAAGGGCTCAGGGTGTATAGGGCTTGGAGTTCAGGGTTCAGGGGGTGTATAGGGCTTGGGGCTTAGGGTTCATGGTGCATAGGGTTTAGGGTTTGGAGTTTGGGGTCAGTGTTCGGGGTTTAGCCCCCCCCCCCCGTTTTTCACCTGATGCCGTTCGAAGAGCCCGTGGGCTCCTCCGAATCCAAATCCCGGGTCTCGCACAGCCGCAGCTGTTGGCACATCGTCCGTCAGCTCTTCTATGCCTTGCGAGTTTCTGCTGGGTGTGCTTTTGAGGGCTGAGGGGTTTCGGGTATTAATGTTCATTGCTGTTGATAGCTACAGTCTGAGTCTACTTCTTGATTACGAGGCTGTCTGAAAAAGTCGCCGACGGGCCGACGGCCTAACCTCGTGACCGCACGGAAACGAGGCTTCAAAAACATGTAGGAGGGGCAGCTCCCCCAAAAAGCCGGCCGCTTCTTTGGGGTACCCCGGAATGTAAAGTGGGACCATCCCTTTCGCACATCCCCCCCCCCCCCCCAGCGGGCATCTCCCAACATAGAGGTTCGCCCTCTCCTGAGAGCTCCAAGATGCGATAACACCCCCAAACTCCCCGACTTTTAGAAGCTTCCCAAGTCGCTGCTGAAACCCTAAACCCCCTCAACCCTCAACCCTCAACCCTCAACCCTCAACCCTCAACCCTCAACCCTCAACCCTCAACCCTCAACCCTCAACCCTAAACTTTGCCCTAAACCCGATACGCCCGGAGCCCTAAACCCCTAAACCCCTAAACCATCCTAAACCCCTAAACCCCTAAACCCCCAAACCCCTAAACCCCTGAAACCCCTAAACCCCCTAAACCCTTCCTAAACCCCAAACCCTAAACCCCAAACCCTAAACCCCAAACCCTAAACCCCAAACCCTAAACCCTAAAACCCCCAAACCCTAAACCCTAAACCCCAAACCCTAAACCCTAAACCCCGTAAACCCTTAGCCCTGCCAACTGCTGCGGGGGCGGCGGCAGGTCGACTCTCCTGGCCTCGGCACGCCGGCGGCTTGTTCTGCTCTGATGTGGGGGGGGGGGGGGGGTTTAGGTTTAGGGTTTAGGTTTAGGGTTTAGGGCTTAGGGTTGGGCTTAGGCTTAGGGCTTAGGGCTTAGGGCTTAGGGCTTAGGGCTTAGGGCTTAGGGCTTAGGGCTTAGGGCTTAGGGCTTAGGGCTTTAGGGTTTAGGGTTTAGGGTTTAGGGTTTAGGGTTTAGGGTTTAGGGTTTAGGGTTTAGCGGGTCTTATGGGCTGATTGTAAGGGTTGTTTTGAGTTTTTATAGGGTTATTATAGGGATTTATGCGGCCAATTATAAGGGCTTTTTGGGGGTTATGATAATTAAGGCTTTGGTTATTATAGGGATTTATGGCCTATTATAAGGCTTTATGGGCTTATTGTCAGGCTTTATGGGGTTATTTTAAGGCTTTATGGGCTTATTATAAGGCTTTATGGGGTGGGGTTATTTAAGGGATTTATGGGGCTGTTATGAGGTGTTCTGGGTTTCTCCTATGAGGCTTTATGGGGTTTTTGTATGGCTTTACGGGGATATTGTAAGGCTTTATGGGGATTTTCCAGGGATTTATGGGGTTATTATGAGGTTTTATGGGGTCATGATAAGGCTTTGTGCGGTTGTTATAAGGATTTTTAGCATTTTGTTTTGAGGTTTTATGGGGGTTATCATGAGCTTGTATGGGGTTATTATAAGGATTGTAGGGCTATTATATGGTTGTACGGGGTCATTATTATAAGGTTTTATAGGGCTTTGAGAGGGCCGAAACAAAAACCTCCCCAGAAAATGGACGGGATGCTCATTGTCGCAGTCCAACTCCAACTTTCCACCACTTTCCCTAGTTGCGATGGAAACTCCCTTTCAAAATCCCATCCCCCAACCCCAAGCCCTTGCACAAGAGGAGCCCCAGTACCCCTAAAACTCCAGCATCCCTAAACCCCAGTATCCCTAAACCCCAGTATCCCTAAACCCCAAACCCTAAACCCCAAAGACACACGACCCGGAGGGCACCCCATTGCGAAGAGCTGGGGCGCCCCGCCGAGGCGCCTCGTCGTCGCGGAGCTTCCGCCGCGCCACCTCGAAAGAGTGTTTAGGGTTTAGGGTTTAGGGGTTTAGGGGTTTAGGGTTTAGGGTTTAGGGGTTGGATAATTCTTCTTCTTAGAGGGTTTAGGGGTTGGATAATTCTTCTTCTTATCCAAAGAAACTGGTATTGTTATTCTGATTATTTGTTTATATCATTATTCTTTATGTGTTTGGGAACGTCAGGACATGGGACTTCGGTGCTTCGCGATCGGCTTTGTAGCAGTCTGCAAGCTTTCGTGAGCCGAGGCTGCTACCCACTCTCCATTGTTATTATTATTATGATTATTATTCATAATATTGTTGTTATTCTTATTCTTATGATTATGATTATTATTATGATTCATATTTTTAATTACTATTCTTCTTCTTCTTCTTATTGTTATGATTATTACCGAGGCTGCTACCATGAGGTCGCCGTTGATCTGCGAGTTGCCGGGTGACAGGGACAATGCTTGCTGGAAGATCTTGACCTCTCGCAGGAAAGTCGCATTTTTGCGGGGAGGGGGAGGGGGGGGTTGAGGGGGTTGGGGGGGTGGGGAGGTTGGTGGGGGGGGGGGGGGTAGGGATTAGGGTTCAGGGATTTTCCGGGCGAGAGCGCTGAAGACCTGAAATGGCGGAAGCAGCTCCTTTCTTTTCTCGCCTGTTTAAGAGTCTACAACAGTCGAGCATTGGACACGCCCACTTTGTGGGAGTGACGCTTTGGCAACCGCTTGGGATGGCTGCCTTGGATTGCGATTGAGAGGGTGCGCTGTTGTGCCAAGTCATGTGTACGCTCCGCAACTTCACGTAACGTCACCTTCTCTTGCCTCTCATCGCTAACATTAAAAGGAGGCCTGGTGACAAGCTTCCATTCACGCGCCGGGCTGAACCTCAACCTATGCTCGTAGTGCAGGGAGCCACGTGGGGGGTTGATGGCTGCTCTTGCTACTTATCCTGAATTATCAACATTATGGTAGGACGGAGACCCAAAGTACCTGCAGCTGCAGGTGAGATCTACCCCCCACGTGAGGGTTCGAGAAAAAGCGAGTACGTGAACACTGCTTCCCTGAGAGTGTCTCTCTCACGGGTCTCATGTGAAGTCCAAAACCTCTGGTGCCGTCAGTGGGTTCACCTCAAGCGCACCTGAGCCACCCCGAACCACCCGAAGCTCGACAAAATGCTCCGACGCAATCTGGGATCTTTCCGGAATAGGGCTTTTCAAAGAAGGCGGGCTAAGTCAGGAGTCAGGAGGGTTTCTGCGTTTTGGGGAACTCATCGTGGACCCGAAGCCCTAAACCCTAAACCCTAAACCCTAAACCCAAACCCTAAACCCTAAACCCCAAACCTTAAATCCAAAACCCTAAAACAAAAGAGGAGGGAATCAGGATCCATGGCACCGACGAGGATGACCACTGTGCCCGGCTTTCCCCCACCCAACACTCCACTTAGGGTTGTTGGTTGGGGAGTCAGGGCTGCTCGGATTCTAGGCTAATTTAGGGGTTTTAGGGCTTAGGGCTTGGGGTTCAGGACTTCAGTCTAGGATGATTCAGCCAGGGCTCCTTTTCGTGTTTAGGGTCTTTTTAGGTTGAGGGTTAGGGGTTTCCGAGACTCCTATCCAACACTGGGGGCTTCCAGCTACCGCTTGCATTACCTGAAAGTTGGTGATGGCGAGGGCTCAGGATTTCAGACTTCTCTGCCTTGCAGCTTCGCGTTATGGCGGAAAAGGTTCCAGGCCCAGGATTTTTGGGGTTTTTACCGGCACTCCTCTAAAGTGGTACACGAAGATGGCTTGTTCTAGCAAGAACAAGCCGTAGAAGTAAGAATCGCTGCACTAAGAAGCAACCCTCAGCCCTAAACCCTAAGACTCGAAAACCCTGAACATCCCTAAACCCTAAGCCCTAAACCCTGAATGCGGGCCCAGCACCTGCTTTCAGTTCCAGGACCTCCTCCTCGAGCCTCTCGATACGCGCCTGGAGCGCCTCCAGGAAACTTTGCCGGAGTGGGTGTGGGGTAGGGTTTAGGGTTTAGGGTTTAGGGTTTAGGGTTTAGGGTTTAGGGTTTAGGGTTTAGGGTTTAGGGTTTAGGGTTTAGGGTTTAGGGTTTCGGGTTGCGGGTTTCGGGTCTCGGGTCTCGGGTTTCGGGTTTCGGGCGGAAAGTGTCACCGCCCTTTTCGGAGCTACTATTCCAGGAGTACATCAGGGTGCAGAGGAGGTGTATGTGTGGCGGATAATCACGTTCGGAGACTTAGAGGGATGATTGCCAGGAGTTTAAGGTTTAGGGTTCAGGGTGAATGGGGGGGAAACCTCAGAAGCCGAAGCTGAAAAAGGCTTCTGTGTCGCAGGCGATGGCTTAGGATCGCCAAACCGGCAGGGCCTGCGTCTGCTTTTGCGAGCTCGACTCCATTTCGCTGATCTTATCCTCGCTGGTGCGAAGTCGGAGAAGGTGACAGCCAAAGATCAGCAAAGAACTGGAGTGCTGTTAAGGAATTTGAGTTCAGCTACCATCACCCGTCTATTGCATACAGCAACAAGCACCCTAACGGCAACCCGAACAAAACCACTTCACATCAGCTTCAGCAGTAAAACTGCAGTGGCACCGACCCTGGTGCCTACCTCTCCACCCGCCGAAAGATAAGCAAGAGTAATCCCCTCCCCCCCCAATATTAAACATAACCCCCCCCCCCCCCCCCCGGTACCGCCGCCCCGCTACCCCCTAGTATTAAATACCGCCCCCCCCCCCATATACGATAACAGAACTATGATGGGGTGTATTTCACGTCAGGGGGTGGGAGGGGGGGGGTTTTACATGCTCTGAGACCCGGGCCAGCAAAGCAGAGATGTGCTTGCCCGCATTTGCTTCCAAGTGCGTGTTGATCTGCTTGGCCAACACCTCCGGGGCTTCGCTTCAAAGGCTCCTCAAGGCCTCCCACTGCCCTACATACTTCAAGCTATTTCTTACGACGCAACTTAAGGAAGAGGCGCAGATTCTCCCTTGAACCGCTCAGCACACTCCAGCGAAACCACCACTCTGGCCACCAAGTTCCTATGCGCGTGGACACCGGTGGGCCGCATCGATGCTACTTCAACTTAGGCTTTCGGGCATCCAGACATGCCACATAAAACTTTAGGCGCGGGCACGCATGCTTGGTTCTGCCATGCCTTCTGGGAAGTAACTCTTGTAAGGATCCAGGGGTATGTGAGGGATGGGGGTGTAGTCTACCCTTCCTAAGTCCAATGAAGGGCTTGTTTGGGCTTTGTGCCTATCAAGGCTTAGTTGGTGAATATGGATGGAAGCATTGTCCCAGGAACTCCCAGCATGCCAATGTCTGACAGGCAGCCCTTTCGCCACAGATCTTGCACAGCAGCGACTTGGCTTCGCACTCGATCCTTAAGGCAGTTTAGGGTTTAGGGTTTTGGGTTTGGCGTTTAGGGTTCTTTTGGATGCTTGGGTTTCATCGAAGGAGGGTTTGGGGTTTAGGGGTTACATGCTCCCAGGATTGTATGTGTCGGCGGCTTGGGAGCCACCGGGCTCCCTTGTTCGCCTCTGTGATTCGGTAAGGAATCGGAAATCCTACTGAAACTTCGAGTCGCGTGAACGTATCTCTAGAAGGCCGACCCTCCCCCTAAACCTTGAACCCCTTTGCCGATAGAAGAGACCTACTGGAGACCTCCAGTTCATATTTTGCGAAGGATCTGATGCTGGGGCATCGAGTCGAGGCTAATGGCCTTCCCACAGTCGTGGCAGCGGACCTGATGGAGTGTAGGGTTGAGGGTTTTGGGTGTGGGGGTTTAGGGTTTAGGGTTTTGGGTGTAGGGCCCATGGGTTGAAGGTTTTGGGTGTAGGGCCCATCTACAAGGCCCTTGGCACTCGTTCTTCGAGTTGAGCCGTGGTAAACCCAAGGGGAACCTTTGCCAAGCAAGCCAGGCCTTCCGACGTGGGCAGATTCGAAGGTGGCTTCGCTTGTCCACCAAGGGAAAGGTCGCTTGGCAGCCGTTGGGGCACCTCTTGGGAAACTGGAGGGTTTAGGGTTTAGGGTTTAGGGTTTAGGGTTTAGGGTTTAGGGTTTAGGGTTTAGGGTTTAGGGTTTGGGGTTTAGGGTTTAGTTTAGGGTTCAAGGTTTAGGGTCCAGGGTGTAGGGCCTAGTGTTTTGGGGTTTACGGTTCAGAGCTTAGGGACGCAGAAGGGAAGCTTCCATCTCCCCTTTGCGAGGCGCAGACTCAGACTCACATTTTCGGAAGATCCGGGTTTAGGGTTTAGGGTTTAGGGTTTAGGGTTTGGGGGTTCTGGGGCCTCAAGAGCTAGGCATGCGCAAAGAGAACCTCCGGCATCAGCTGCGCAGGTGCCTACACTCTAAACCCTAAGACCTAAACCCTACAACCCTACAACCCCAAAACCCCAAAACCCTAAAACCCCAAAACCCCAAAACCCTAAAACCCTAAAACCCTAAAACCCTAAAACCCCAAAACCCCAAAACCCCAAAACCCTAAAACCCTAAAACCCTAAAACCCTAAACGCTAAACCCTAAACCCTAAACCCCACACCACCCTGAAACCTGAACCCACATGACTCGCGATCTCAGGCGCTTGATCTTCAGGTTCATGATCTTGACCCGGTCTCTGTTCCTGAGCTGGCCCTAAAGGTTTAGGGTTTAGGGTTTAGGGTGTAGGGTTTAGGGTTTAGGGTTCAGGGCTTAAGGCTTAGGGGTTGGGGGTTTAGAGTCTAGTTTAGAGTCCTACCCCAGCGCTTCCCTTGGCTCAGATGCCCATCCGCAAGCCATAGCTGGGAGTCTTCGTGCTCATTGTAAACGGGCTCTCAGATTCTACTTAACTACAGGGCTTTTGGGGCTCGGGGTCTGCAAGCCCTAAACCCTGAAGCCCTCAACCCTCAACCCTCAACCCTAAGCCCTAAGCCCTAAGCCCTAAGCCCTACCTCTGCAAACTTTAGGCTCAGCTGCGAGGGCTCCACATCACCCCCCTGCCGGCAAACAGGGCACTCCTGGCAGCTCCCCACTGAATGTTGCGCTGAAGTGGATGCCTCTACTTGACTTGGTGTGTTCCTTAGGGTGTTCATACTCATGAAGCCCTAGCCGGAATGATGTCCCACATCATTAAAACCACGCCCCAATGAGCCCTACACCCGACGGGTCAAGGAACACCCGAAGGGCCGCTCTGAACCTCACTTCAGTTGGTCACCAGAGCCTGTTCTTCTCGGCCGCAAGCCTTGCTTGCGGCATGTCCTTACCTGGACTCCCCTGGTGCCTCCAGAAACCTTCGGATGAGACGTAGGCCATGGAGGGACCCTAAGAACCCTTGGAACAGTTAGGGTTTAGGGTTTAGGGTTTAGGGTTTAGGGTTTAGGGTTTAGGGTTTAGGGTTTAGGGTTTAGGGTTTAGGGTTTAGGGTTTAGGGTTTAGGGTTTAGGGTTTAGGGTAGCGGGAGCATCGAAGACCCTCCGCCGAGTCCTCTCTTTGGCCGAAGACCTTGTGCCAGCAGAGTTCGCAGAAGAGCTTCGTGCAGGCCTCGTGAGGCAGGGAAGGCTGAGACCTCCCAGCCACCGCGCGGCATGCGTGTCGCAGTGCCAGAGACGCAGCAGGTTCATGCTGACTCATACTCCAGCATCATGATGCTACCCTAAACCCTAAACCCTAAACCCTAAACCCTAAACCCTAAACCCTAAACCCTAAACCCTAAACCCTGACAGAGCTCACAAGTCTGGTCCCCCTGCCTCGTGGAACACCGCGGCTCGGCAGACGCACTTGCAGACCGGGCATTCGTACTCCTGGGCATGATCTGGGCTCAGCCACCTGGGATCGGGAGAAGATCCGGAAAAAAAGGGGCGAAAGAGAGGGTCTTGCGATACAGTATGATATATATATATATATATATATGCAGATATGCTCGCTTTTCATTCGCAACTACGCATCTGCTTGCTTGCTTCTGTCAAACCTACTTGCCCAGAACTTCTCAGCTCTTGAAGCTGGCCCAGGCCTTGCTGGAGGCATGAGTCACAGGTCCAGCTCCGATTTTAAACGTAAGAAAGCTGCTCGGGTGCTACTTTAGGCTTCTCTCACGCCCGAGGGAAACTATGTCTGCACTAAACGTAAATCCTGCACCGGCCTTCCGCCTTCCGGGACGACCGTGTTGCTGCACAGGGCTCGTGGCTTCGAGATCCACCGCCCCGACAGAGCAGTTGGAGTTGTGTGGGGTTTTCCCGGAGCCCGAAACCCTAGCCCTAAACCCTAGCCCTAAACCCTAAACCCCAAGCAATAGGCCCTAAGCCCGGCCCAACCCCACTGCCACAGCTTCGACCCAGGCACTCTTCGTCATGGCCCTGGTCCACTTCCTTACTTTGTTGCCGTCTACTTGCAGGGGCCCCTTTTGTTTACGGCTTCTAATGGTATGATTGAATTTCTATTGACCTTATTCATGCTGGAATGAATACTATGACTGTTCTGTTTTGCTCTTGAGCTTGCTGTTCATGTGATCATTCATAAGGTTCCGTATGCATACGATCAGCATTTTTGCTCTCAGTATCGTTCATACTATCAACATGATGATGAGAGTAATACTGGTGATTTTACTCATGCTGCCATATTTAGCCTTCTGAACATTGTACGGGATACTAACCATATTGGCATTCATGATGCGATTGATTCGGCTCTGCCGCTTCGGCAAAAAGGGGTAGCCCCCTAATTAAGTACCCCAGAGCAGCGCGTTCTTTCTGAGGAACACGGGTATAGGGTGTAGGGTTTAGGGTTGAGGGTTTAGGGTTTCACAAAGGCAGGGTGTTGAGTTTAGGAGGCCCTCAAGCCCCTGAACCTTGTGAGTTGCCGCCCCAATCTGACAAAGTCCGGCTTCGGGTTCGGCATCCTCGACGACATCGCCATCTTCGACCGCAAAGATGAGGTCGTACCTTGGTCGCACGGTTCAAGGGAGAAAGAGAGAGCCTTGGAATTAGGCAGTTAGGGATTTGGGGCTGCGACTTTTGTCCAGGCTCTTTGCTCTAGGCTTGTGTAATCGATATGTATACGTATAGATCAAGATATAGATAGCTTCATGTCTCTTAGAAGAGGCATGGCGCGCCCACGTCATCTCGACTTCCTCACATGTTCAGGGCTACAAAGTTCTGGCATTTGAGCTGAAGATCCCGAAGCCCGAAACCCGGTTGAGGCCCTAGGGTCGGCTACCTCTTGGCCCAGGTGCTTACCCTCAGCGCCCACGCGGTAGGACTTCTTCTCGCCGTGATCCCACTGCACTTTGATCCATCTGAGCGGCATATCCTGGGAGGACTTCATCTTGGCTTTCGTGGCGTGCAGCTACACCCTAAACTTAAGCCTCAACCTGAACCCTAAACCTTAAACCCGAACCCTAAACCATAAACCATAAACCCTAAACCCTAAACCCTAAACCCTAGCTGAAACCAGCCCAGGGGGCGGGGTCTGAGTCCACCACGGTGGTCCCCCAGTTTCCAGCACCGCCGTCTTGGTTCCCCCACTTCCAGTCCTCGGCTCCCCGACGGGTTGTAGTAGACGGTATCCGTATATGGAGGACCATACATTACATTACAAAGGACTACAAATGCAATACAGTACAACACAATACAATACAGTACAGTGCAATACATACATTACAATACAAGACAATACAATACAGGACACACACACATACATACAGAGACGAGGCTTGAATTTAAAGTAAGAGTATAAACAAACATAGGAAGAAAGAAAAGCGTACGCTAAAAACAGCACAAACATACATACGCAAGATATCGAAAGCAAGTACAAACAAAAATATTTACATGTGTATATATATGTTAAATCCTAAGAGAACGGAACAGGTTATTCTAGAAACCCTCCTCCCCTCCCTCCCTCGGGGTGCCCTGTCCATTTGGGGGCTGCCGACACCCGAACAAAGTTAGTTAGTTAGTTCCCCTCGCTCCCTCCCTCCCTCCCTCCCTCCCCAAGCCCAAGCCCTAAACACTCAACCCTCAAAGGGTTTAGGACCACAAACTGCTCAGGCCTTTCAAAATGCCCTAAGCCTGAGCCATGCGGCGGGCCCCCTCCGAACGCGCACACCGATGCGCTGCTCCTTGAGGACCACGTCCTCCCCAAAATCTCCAGGGTTTAGGGTTTAGGGTTTAGGGTTTTCACAAAACTTTTCGGGTTCATGGGGTTTTTCCAGGTCTAAGGTGTTCGGGTTGAAGCGCCCGACAGCGCTGAAGATCTGCCAAAGGGAGCTCAGGAGCCTCCCCATAGGGCCCTGTGCGACTGGCTCTGGAACTTCTATCCCTATGGTAACCTTTCCAGGGGTTTAGGGTTTAGGGTTTAGGGTTTAGGGGTTTAGGGTTTAGGGTTTAGGGTTTAGGGTTTAGGGTTTAGGGTTTAGGGTTTAGGGTGCTACATGTAGGCTTAGGGTTTCGGGTTTAGGGTTGAGGGGCTCCTAATTTCCTACTAAGAACAACCTTCCGGCATCCTCCTTGGGAACGAAGGTCACGTACCGAGCCGCGACGTTCAGGCAGGGGTTCTGACGCATTTCCTGAGCACTTTCCGCCACTTGGCCTTTCCCCTACGAACTGCAAGAGTAGTTCAGTAATATTTGGTTCAACTATGGCATAAGAAAATTCTATTTTACGAAAGAAAAAACTGCAAGGCATAATGTTCTAGCCTGATACTCATCAATACCACTAGCACACTAGTAGTTCATATTGCAAAACAAAACAAATTCATAACTATAGTAGTACACTAGTCATGAATATTACAAAATGAAACAATAAAGTGACCCGTGACCCTAAACCCTAAACCCTAAACCCTAAACCTAAACCCTAAACCCTAAACCCTAGCCCCATGAACCCTAACCCCTCAACCCCCATATCTTGCGAAGGGGGATTTCACAAACCGTCCCAGTGTCATGGGCGGCGAAGCGGATGCGCACGAAGCCTTCGGGCACCGTCTCCTCGGGGATTCTTTGCGGGGGATGAGGGATCTTAGGGGCTTGGACAGGGTTTAGGGTTGAGGGTTTAGGGTTCAGGGTTTAGGGTTTAGGGTTTCGGGTGTAGGGTTTAGGGTTTCGGGTGTAGGGTTTAGGGTTTCGGGTGCAGGGTTTAGGGTACCTAAAAGATCGAGGCCCTTAAGTTCGCTGGATGTTCTGCGACACCCGCTAGCATCGCTGGAAATCCGGTTTAGGGTTTAGGGTTTAGGGTTTAGGGTTTAGGGTATAGGGTATCCAGCTGACAGCGCTACCGCGCCAAGTCTCGTCGTTACCATGGCCGGTGCCGTTGAATCTCCAGCCGATCAAGACCTTGCCACCGCACAAAAAACATTCTGCATTGTGCCCTCTCAAATACACATGTGTTCGCAGCAGCTGCCGTGGCACTGTCAACAGGAGCTATACACGGCCAGCATGGCATGTGGGGTTCTTCACCATTCTGAAGCTCTGCTCCCTTACTTGCAAATTCGCCCCTCTTGCAGAGTAGAGGGTATTGAGTTTGGAGCCGTCCAAAGACTACACTGTACATCAACGCAGAAACCTGAAAACCCTGCAATCTTCATCGACAGTCCCGAGGCAGGGATTTAGAAGAACCCTCACGCGCACATGAAGCCACGGAATATGCGTCTCCAGTCCCCGCTGCCCAGTGCACTGCTCTCCATTGCCCAAATACTCCATTCCTCACCCTCAACGGCCACCAAGGAATAAATGAACACTACGGAACTCAGCACAGGAAGCCTCATGAAAGCGAATCGGAAGAATGGAGCACCACGGAGAAGGACCCCTTAACAACATCGAGCAACCTTGAAGACCCCCCTGAACGCCACAAGAGTCCCGAGACCTGCGAGCCTCAATTCACCAAGGCACCCCGACTCCGTTCTGCACATCCACCACATTCAAGTTCAGCCTGAACGTGAATTTCGGGGCAAAGGCCGTGCAGACTTAGCTCCCCCAAAACGGCGAAGTACTAAGGGCTGCCTTGAAGGCCTGGTGAACTTCTACAAGGGTTTGGGGTTTAGGGGGCTCTCAATTCTCAGCATTTGCAAAGCTGCGAGGGAACCCGAAAGTTGCCCCTAGAACCACCGCCCCCTCCCCCCTCCCCGGCTCAGCTGAGCGTCGCCAGGTCTGGGTGTGGCTCGCCGCCTGGCAGCAACTGTGCAGTGTCAAAGGGGGCCCCTTTTACAGCTCTTTCAGCGGCGGCCTCCCATCCTCTCTTTAAGGACGCATGGAGGGCCCTCATTCCCTCATTCCCTAAACCCGAAACCCTAAAGTATGTAGGGCCCTCATTCAATTCCCTCATTCCCTAAACCCTTAGGGTTTGGGGTTTAGGGTTTAGGGTTTAGTGTTTAGGGATACAGCAATGTCGGGCACCAGCATTCCCGAAGCTCCCACAGTTGGCCTGCCAAGATGGGCTGGGGACCACATGCGACTTCCTCGGCAGCAAGCAAGACCCTTGAACCCCAAAGTCTAAGGTTTAGGCTTCAGGGTTTAGGATTTGGGTTTAGTTGAGGGTTCTCAGCAGGTTTGTTTCTGAATTCTGGCCCCTTGTTACATTGTTGGGGTCTACCCGAACCCGGCTCCAAAGCCAAATAGGTATTCGGGGACCATGAGTCACAATGCTGAGAGGACCGAACTGCGAAGGTCAGTTTCGGGCAGCTTCCCAAGACGGATCCCGGAATCCCATGAGCCCTCCCTATATCTGCTTTCTTAGGCATGTGGAAACCCTAAACCCTAAAAACCCGAAACCAGAATCCTATACCCCTATTCAAAGCGCGAGGCTTCCCTCAAAAAAAACTCTCCTACAGGGGCCTCAATTTAATTCGAACAGGCGTTTGGGGGTCAGTGTCGTATACTTATCAAGGGACCATAAGGGAATCTTGCAGTGATTTTTCCGACCCCTATACTTCACCAGAAGGTCGGGGGGGGGGGGGGGGGGCAGGTCAAAAAGAAACCCTAAACCCTAAACCCTAAACCCTAAACCCTAAACCCTAAACCCTAAACCCTAAATCTCTTCGTGACGGGCCGCCCACGCTGCCTCGCTGCGCTGCTCGCGCGCGCTGCGCACCGCGCGCATGGCAAGGGGGTCTGCTTTTGAAGGGCTTAGGGTTTAGGGTTTAGGGTTCAGGGTTTAGGGTTCAGGGTTTAGGGTTTAGGGCTTGGGGCTTCAAGGGTTGCCAAGGGCTTGGGGGGGGGGGGGTAGGCAGGGGTCTGTTAAGAAGGGCTGTCGAGGGCTGAGGGTTGTCTTGGGGGTGTTCGTGGGTTGTTTGGGGTGGAGGGGGGGGGGTTTGGAAGGGCTTGTTTGGGGCTTGTAGATGTTTTTGAAGTTGTTTTGGCCCTAGCGGCGTTCGGGCTTGGGCTGTTCCACCAAACTCGCTGAAAAACAAGGGGGCGGACATGGGTCTGGGACTGCTGAGGCCCATATCAGGCCGTGTCGTAGGCTTAGGTTTTGCTGTAGGGTTTAAGGTGTTTAGTCGTTTTGGGTCAGAGGGTCAACAGAAGGCTGGTAGCGGTCCATGCTTATGTTCCTTATGGCCATGGCTTTCTTGATGTTTACGGGAGTCTCTCTGCCTCCCGAGCTCCTACTGCTACAGGCGACCCGCGGTATTCGGATCTCGGGCCGAAAACGGCGTGAGAACGCTCGGCGTGGTGGTGAACTTCGGAACTTCTGCTCAGAAGAAACGCTGCGGCACACAGATGCGTTGGGACTTTCAAACCCGAACCAAGGCTTCTAAGCTTCTCGCAGCGTCGGCAAATCGCTGCAGCTCGTAGAGCGCCTTTCCTTTGCGGTGGAGCGCCTGGCCGACATCAGTCACGTCACGATCTTCACCCTAAACCCTAAACCCTAAACCCTAAACCCTAAACCCTAAACCCTAAACCCTAAACCCTAAACCCGGCTACAGGCGGAACTGCGAGCTGGAAGATGTTGCGTTGGGGTTGGGCGCCTTGATGTGGCTGCCATTCAGCGCCAGCGCGTGCTCGCAGTCCTCTTTCGGGAAGGATCATGGGTTTAGGGTTTAGGGTTTAGGGTTTAGGGTTTAGGGTTTAGGGTTTAGGGGTTAGGGTTTAGGGTCTAGGGCTTAGGGCTTAGGGCTTAGGGCTTAGGGCTTAGGGTTTAGGGTTTAGGGGTTAGGGTTTAGGGTTTAGGGTTTAGGTTTAGGGTTTAGGGTTTAGGGAGAGTACACTCAGGTACTTAGGGAAGGATCATGGGTGTCCAGAGTCTTCGGGTTGTGGGTTCAGGCGGTGTTGGGCTTAAGCTTTAGGGTTTTCGGGATGGTAGAGTACACTCAGGCCTTGGTAGCCCCAATAGCCATATTCTAACAAGGGCACCCCCTTTTTTGGGCTGGTTGCTTTGTAGGGGAGCCTTGGACCAAAAAAAAGAGGGAAAAGGGACCATGGGTATAGTTCTGAGGAAGACGAGGGAGTTGAGAGTTCTTGGGCCGGGAGCACCTGTATGAGGCCGACACCTCTCCACCCCCTCCACCCCCCTCATTCACGCTAAACCCTAAACCCTAAACCCTAAACCCTAAACCCCACAAATCCCTACAATCCTTAAAGCGCTGCGTCCGGCGCACTCCTCCAGAGCTCCCTGAGGATTGCCGAGCTTGAGTCTCACCTTAAGGTCGCATGGGGTTTCTCAACATAGGCCTGTTAAGTGCTTAAGGTTTTGGATAGTTACTTTATAAGGGAACCTTGACCCAAAAAAAAAGGGGAGAGCCTCTCACCCTGTTTCAGCTCGTCGCGGGGCGAAGGCAGGAACTACGCTCTTCAGGGTTTAAGGGTTTAAGGGTTTCAGGGCTTAGGGTTTAAGATTTCGATGTTTCGTTTCAGTCCGGTCGCCGGTGTTTCCGGAAGACTAGTAGGGAATGAGGGATCGAGGTAGAACATGCTTTAAGAAGGGCGTTTAATATCATGTGGGGTAATGTAAAGGTCGGAATAGTTACTAATGGTATCCCCTGATGGTCCCTTTATATTTATAGTATAATAACCCCCAAAACCCTAGTTTAATTTTTAAGGCCCCTATATTAGGGCATTCTTTTAAGGTTAGCCTAGGGCGTTTAATAGGGGTGGTTAGGATGCTGGTTTAGGGTTTTATGGTTTGGGGTTGTAGGGTACCTCATTTCTTCTAATCCTAAATCCTAAAACCCTAAAACCCTAAAACCCTAAAACCCTAAACCCCAAAGCCTAAACCCTAAACCCTAAACCCTAAACCCTAAACCCTAAACCCTAAACCCTAAACCCTAAACCCTAAACCCTAAACCCTAAACCCTAAACCCTGGCCGTGGCCTAAAAGCATGAACAGCCCTCACAAAGACGCAGGAATAGCCGTCGAGGTCACGGCGAGTGCGCGGTTCGTCCAGGCAGACGCATCGTCCGCCTGGTACTGAAGGCTTCTGGTGTAGTAGGCCTCCGAGATGTCATGGGTTTCCTTTAGGGCTATTTAGGGATCATTAAGCCTAATTAAGGCTATTTAAGGGGGGGAACCTAATCCGAGCATCTGTTTAATTGTGGGGGGGTCCCCCCCCCCCCCCCCTCACCGCAATAATAAAGGCAGGGTTCCGCAACAATAAGACCATGGCAATGTTTTGATTATCGATTGAAAACAATAGGCTGCAGATCCCTGAGGTGCTGTAGCTTCGCAGCTCAGCAAGCAAAACAAGAAGCCCGCCGACAGATTTTTGAACCGCCCCGAAGACATTTTCTTTAAATGTGGTGCTATTGGCTCGTACGAAAACCACCGCAATGGAAAGTAGTCTTCCGGCGGGCTTCTCGACGAAAGAAGTTTCTTTAAATGTGGTGGTATTAATTAAACTGATGCTCGGATTTGGGGGGGGGGGGTGTGGCGCAGAGTGAGGTCCTCTCGGTCTTACGAGTCATCTAGTAGCCTTTGATCACTATCACTATGACATCTACAAAGCTGAGCTTTGGAATGGTGTTACCAGAATCGCTTTCATATTCGAAGTCAGCCCTAAACCCTCAACCCTAAACCCTAAACCCCACACCCCAAACCCTAAACCTTAAACCCTAAGGTTAAGAACCTGTCTCATGCCGACTCGACTTCGTCGACCCGCTGGCGCCAAGAATCTCCACTTAAAAGCCCTCTCAGGGCTTTTGCAGAGCTGACGTATGGCCCCCCGAAGGGTTTGGGGGTTCAGGGCTTAGGGTTGAGGGTCTTCTTCTTCTTCTTCTTCTTCTTCTTCTTCTTCCGCCGCTGCGTCTTCTCAATCGCGTGAAGGGAGGAACACGTGAGCTGCAGGGGGCATTTCTTGGCACCACGCTCACTCCAGACTTGCCGAGTTCAAGGTCCAGTCATTCGTGCGACACACAAGGGTTTGGGGTTAGGGTTTAGGGTTTAGGGTTTAGGCTTTAGGGTTTAGGGTTTAGGGCTTAGGGTTTAAGGATTGAATGTTCTAGGCTGTGTAGTCTAAGGCAACTCTAAGGCAACGCAAAGAACAAGGAAGTCACAAGCTGAGGTTCTGTTCCGTCAGCCATCACGTCGTACCAAACTATGCGAAGTTGAAACATGATATCAGCTTCCATCTGGACACCCTAAACCCTAAACCCCAAAGTCCCTAAAGACTGCCACCAGGACCAGTCAGAGCCTGCAAACTCCCGCGATGCCTCGGCCTCCGTGAAGTCTTTTGAGTAAAAGGCCTTGCGAGCACTTCATGGAAACTAGGGGCCTACGAAGCGGTTCAGGGTTTAGGGTTTAGGGTTCAGGGTTCAGGGTTTAGGGTTTCCACAGTCCCAGCGAGATAATTGCGAGATGGTGTGTACTGTCTCGGAGGCCTGCATGGTGGAACTTTTCATTCTCTTGCTGATTCTCTTGCTATCACCACAAACAAATGAGTAAATAAATAAATAAATACATACATATACATATAGGCACTCACGAAGAACGAAGCCCCACCCCATGGTAGAGTGCAATGCAGTGTAGCGTTTGACTTGAATCTGTCGTGGAACGGTTGCAGCTGACATTGTGCTTATGTCTACTTCTGCTGGTTATGCCAAGAACCCTAAACGGCTCTTCAATGACGTGCCGTTTAAAGCCAGAAGCTGTCTGTTCCTCAACCCTAAACCCTAAACCCTAAACCCGTAACCCGTTCCAGTCTCGCCTCGTTGCCCTTCTCTTTCTCGCTGTCGGCCATGTGCTTCTTGTGAGCCTGCACTGGGCAAGAGCAAACTCCTCCGTGCAGCAGCAATGAAAACTGCCGCGGGCTCATTTTTTGCGATTGCTGAGCATAGAAACAACCTTCATATCTGTGTATGTGCATATACATATGTATATACATATATATATATATACATATATATATATTAATCAGTTAGTATTAGTTATTAGTTGTATGTTCACAAACGATAAATTAAGAACAAAATAAGACAATCGTAGAATAATATGAGAATGATATACGTGAATATAATGACGTACAAAACAGGTCCTCATCGAGTATGTAATCTCATCTTCATGCCCCTATTGGCTACTTCGCAACTTTCGGGCCTCCATAGGTCTCATGTGTGACACCACATATATTAGGGGGGGGAGTCTTATGACACAGATCAAAAAAGACCTCCTAAATCAGACTCAGTGACAGGAATAAAAGGAAGGAAGTGCATGCGGCTCTCAGAGAGGCACTCCTAAAGCAGGTTTAGGGTTTAGGGTTTAGGGTTTAGGGTTTAGGGTTTAGGGTTTAGGGTTTAGGGTTTAGGGTTTAGGGTTTAGGGTTTAGGGCTTACGACACCGAACACAAGAGCATCAGTTGCAAGGTGGGCCTTCGAGCCATAGGCTCACGGCTCCCACAGCCCTTGAACTTGGGTTTTGGGTTCAATGGGTCAAAGGGTTTAGGGGTTTAGGGGTTTAGGGGCTTAGGGGCTTAGGGGTTTAGGGGTTGAGGGGTTGAGGGGTTTAGGGGTTTAGGGGTTGAGGGGTTTAGGGGTTTAGGGGTTTAGGGGTTTAGGGGTTTAGGGGTTTAGGGGTTTAGGGGTTGAGGGGTTTAGGGGTTTAGGGGTTTAGGGCGTTAAACATCTCTAAGCCTCTAAGCCCTCTACAGGCCCTCTAACCTGAGCATCTTATCTCGACTGTTGAAGGCCTCCGGCACCTCGCTGACATTCGTGACCACCTCGGTGGCAGCCTCCGCGTGGGCTTGTCAACCCTGTGAAGGCTCTCCCACTTTCAACCCTAAACCCTAAACCCTAAACCCTAAACTCTAAACCCTAAACCGTAAAGCACAACCGCAAACCGCAAAATCACAGGAGCTGATCTCCCTGGCATTTATCTGCAGGGCAGCCGCGCACGCGTTGCGGTAGTTCCACAGGCTCAACATCTCTGGGTAATTACTGACAGCCGCCAACGACCCACTCTGAACCCCCTACTGCTCTTGAAAAGCAAGGAAAGCCACAACCGAGTTCATCATGAGCGCTGTGTGCTCTTTGCCTAAAGGGCCCAAAGCTTCCCGCTTTCCATAGCCTCGGGATGCTTCATTTCTTTCTCCACCTTTTCATGCAGTCAGCGTTTGTATTGTGAAGTCTTTCAAGGAGGCGCCAAGGCCTCAAGTGCGTGTGAATCCCCCGGTAGGGGTAGAGGAGGACCAGGTGGCGTCTGCTCATGGACTTCTCTACCAAGCTGAATCAAAAAACCCAGAAAAATGGGGGACGCCGCCCCAACCTCCCAGAAAAAGGCCAACATTTGCTGCAAACGGTGCAAGGTGCCAACCATCATAGGCCGGGCACGGGAATGCTTGGGTCCAAGCATCCCATGGCGATGAGCGGGAGTCAAACGAACACCCTGTGCAGCACGTCGGTATCAGATGAGCGCAGTGTTTGGGTTTAGGGTTTAGGGTTTAGGGCTTAGGGCTTAGGGCTTAGGGCTTCGGGCTTTGGGCTTAGGGCTTGGGGTTTGGGGTTTGGGGTTTAGGGTTTAGGGTTTAGGGCTTAGGGCTTAGGGTTTAGGGTTTAGGGTTTAGGGCTAGGGCTTAGGGTTTAGGGTTTAGGGCTTGCGGTTCAGGGAGTCCGGGAGGAGTGATGCCGACATGCTCTGGCGCAGTGCCCGCTGCACGCGCCGCGATATATTTTCTAAATGCATCCCTTAATAACCTCTCTCTATATATACATACATATGTATGTCTATTGTTATAACCTCTCTCTATATATACATATATATATACACATACATATGTATGTCTATTTATTGTGGCCTAGAAACTGCCCAAAAAATGCTCATTCAACTTGAGTGATATCTCGTTCAACTTGAGTGATCTTCTTGTGAGTGTACAAGGCACTCTGTTTCAGCATCATCGCATTCCCAACAAACCAATGTAAGTTAAAGAGAATCTAAACTACCCGCAATACCCTGTCAAGTTAAAGGGGCAATATGTGAAGTGGTGCAACCTACTAATTGCTTTAGAACCCTCCCCAACATGCAAATATGATTCCTTATTCAGTGTAATATAGGGATTATCACTTTCTATTCTTTTGGGGTTCTTAAGCAAATAGTAGAAACATGACGAAGCATCAGAGGCAACATCGCAGCGCTGAAAAAGCGCTGTCGCGTCATACGCCAAGGCCCCTGGCGACGGGCGGCTGCAACTTTCTCAACCAGTCGACTTGAAAAAACAGTGCAAAACATGAAAACGCTAAACAGCCCTAAAACCCCCCCCCCCCCCCCCCCCCGCCGAAACCCCTAAACCCCCCCCCCCCCCCCCCCTCCGACTCAACAGTAAGCATCTGTGACCACCAAGCCGACGTCTCTAGGGCGGGCCACGCCAAGCTGATTTAGACACCCTATCATCTTGGTAGCCGAATCTAAGGAGACCCTTTTTTGGGGTTGGTTACTTTACAAGGGGAGCCTGGAACCAAAAAAGTGCGAAAGGGCGGCACTGCGCTACCAAGTCATGCAAGGTAACCCCCCCCCCATTCCCCTTCCCCCCCCCGCCTTCCCCCTCTGTCAACCCCCGAAATCTCCGAAAGCAGCACCGGGACGTGCGCCAGCCCTCCCGTCGCAGGAAAGCCAATCAATCTACTGCGATCTACGACATTGAAATTCTGAGATTTCCGCCACACAAATGCAAAAAACAAAGATGAAGCTCTCGCACTCACAGCCCAGGATTGCTCCCCCGCAAGCACTGTGTACTATCCGGGTGATGGGCCTTACCGAAGCAATGACTCGCAAAGTTGTTCAACTTGCGTAGAGATGCACAAAGCAGGAAGCGAAGGGATTTCAATTGAGGCTTCAACGGCTTCGGATTGAGGCTTTAGAGCAAAAAGACTCTGTGTCAGCTTCATCGCAACACACTTCGGTCCGCGTAACCCAAAATACCCATTTGAGCTCAAGATAGTGAAAAGTCTAAACTACCCGAAATACCCTGTCAAGTTATGAAACGCGACGAAGCATCAGAGGCAAAAGCTCAGCGCTAGATATAGCGCTGTCGTGTCATACGCCCAGCCCTGGCGACGGGCGGCTGCAACTTTCTTCACAACGCCTGGACTCATTTCTGCCACGCAACAGCACAACCAGTCCACATGAAAAAAACAATGCAAGACATGAACACCTGCAGCCGCCCGCCAACTCAACAGTAAGCATCTGTAAATATCTGTAACCACGAAGCCGAGACGGCGCGTCTCAAGGGCGGGCCACGCCAAGTTGATGTAGACACCCTATATCTTGGAAGCTGAACAACCGTATTGATAAAGGGGACCCTTTTTTGGGGTTGTTACAAGGAACTCGGAACTTAAAGGTTGTTACAAGGAACCCTCCCCCTCCCCCCCCCCATCTCCCCCGCCCCTCCACCCCCACCCCCCCCCCACCCCGCTCCTCCCTCCTCAACCTCCGAAATACCCGAAAGCAGCACCCGGGATGCGTGCCAGCCCTCCCGTCTCGGGAAAGCCAAGAATCTACTAATCTACTGCGATCTACGACATTGAAATTCTGAGATTTCCGCCACACAAATGCAAAAGGCGAAGATGAAGCTCTCTCGCATGCCATGACTCGCAAGGTTGTTCAACCCTAGAATTATATAAGCTGTTCAGATGCCCAGAAAGCAGGACGCGAAGGGATTTCAATTGAGGCTTCAATGGCTTCGGATTGAGGCTTTAGAGGCTTCTTCAAAAACTGCGGCAGGTGAAGCTTTAGTTGTATTGTCCGGCCTGCCATCGCTGGAAACAGTTGGGCTTGCTAACGGCCAGCCCAAAAGCTAAGGCTAAGCGAGAGGGTAGTAACTTGGACCCTAAGCCCTAAACCCTAAACCCTAAACCCTAAACCCTGAACCCTGAACCCTGAACCCTAAACCCTAAATCCTAAACCCTAAACCCTAAACCCTAAACCCTAAACCCTAAACCCTAGCTCTGATTGAACATGGCGGCTCCAGTGATGCAAAGGCGGCCTTGCAAAGTGGGAACGGTATGCAACCGTTGCTTTCGATCAGGTTCAAAGAGCCTAAACCCTAAACCCTAAACCCTAAACCCTAAACCCTAAACCCTAAACCCTAAACCCTAAACCCTAAACCCTAAACCCTAAACCCGAAGAGCCGCGAGCTCTCTGCACTGACGTGCCCGAGAAGCCCAAAAGCATAAACAAAGAGCAGGATGCCCTGGCGTTGCTCACCACAGGGATGCTCTGTATGGGCCGGTTTCGGGTTTAGGGTTTAGGGTTTAGGGTTTAGGGTTTAGGGTTTAGGGTTTAGGGTTTAGGGTTTAGGGTTTAGGGTTTAGGGTTTAGGGCTACTTCCCTACACTCGCCCCTCGAGGTTGAGCAACTTGAAACGCAACGGGAGGCGCCCTGAAGCGCCGGTTGCAGTAGAACTTTCTCATCTCTTCCAGGGTGTCTCGGAAGGAAAGACCCTCAACAGCTGATGATGAGCGCGCCGTGCTGCGCGAGGAGTTTGCCCACCACACCTCCGGAACTCTCGGGCTTCCTAAGCCCTAAGCCCTAAGCCCTAAACCCTAAACCCTAAACCCTAAACCCTGAACCCTAAACCCTAAACCCTAACCCTAAACATCCCTAAACCCTGAATCCTGAACCCTAAAAACCTATCAACCCTACGACTCGGCTCTAGAAGGACTTCTTCTCAATCAGACAGGGCGGAGGTGCTCACGTTCCCAAACTTGGCCCTGGCTCGTTTTCCTGGCTAACGTTGCACCACCTCTGGCTCTACACTCTAGATGCCCGACTAGTCACAAGCTCCAAACGTTTAGGGTTTAGGGTTTAGGGTTTAGGGTTTAGGGTTTAGGGTTTTAGGGTTTTAGGGTTTTAGGGTTTAGGGTACTACTCAACTACAGCATTTCTGACTGTTCACAGGCTTCAAACGCTGCAAATATCTTCCGCAAATTCTACAAGCTCCACATGCTGCAAGCTGAAGCATTTCTGGAGTTCACAAGCTCAAAACGCTGTGAAGAACAGCATTGTGATGCTGTAAATTACAACACTAATTGCAGTCTTTGCTTAGGCTGCTAAAACATGTGGGTTGTGACATTCCATGAAGAAAGTTTGCATAGCTTAGGGCACGGGGTGCGGGGGGTGCGGGGGGGGGGGGGGGTGGGCCAACCTTACCAAGCCAAACCAGCCAGGGCCACCCTTAGGCTTGCTAATTAGGAAAGAGTGAAACACTGGAGGGTTTGGGGTTTAGGGTTTAGGGTTTAGGGTTTATGGTTTAGGGTTTAGGGCTTAGGGTTTCTGAACTGAATCCATAAGCCCAGCCTTCTTGGAGATGCAACCCAGGTGGACAGCGCACAGCGTGATCGACGCGATCGACGATGTGGTCGCTGCCGCTGGACGAGCGGGTTGACTCACTGCTGCTGCCGCGCCGATCCGCGGCAACCGTGCGCCTCAAGCCGGACCCTTCCCGCTAACTCTGAGAACCCACACGAACTCACAAAGCCCTGGAGACTCTTCTCTGCAAAAAACTGTGCAAGGAGTTGCGCGCGTGGAGCAACCTCACGCCTACCATAGGACTGGACCATCCTCTGAACCTGTTGTTGCCTTGTCCCTTCCTTCTGAGGGCGGCACCAAGCCACACGTACTTTTGAGAGCGGCGCCCAAACAGCCCTGAACAACCGGGGCGCATTTCGAAACGGCCTCTCAACGCAGATCAAAACGGCCTTGAAGAATCTCTTCACAATGCCCTGGGCCCTGGGCACCCTAGGGTTTAGGGTTTGGGGTTTAGGGTTTAGGGTTTAGGGCTTAGGGCTTAGGGCTTAGGGTTTAGGGACCCCCCCCCTAGTTGACCCCCAAACTCTTCCGAGATTCGGCTCCCGCGCTGCATCGCAGCCGAAAGTCTTCCCAGAGCAAGCGCGATCCGCACTTGGGGCTCCTCCTTTGCCGCAACTTGAGATGTGGTGGGCTTTTCCCCCCAAAACTAGAGTACCATTATTATTATTATTATTATTCTTCTTCTTCTTTTTATTAGCGAGTGCCGTAGTTCTTTGGCTCTTCATGATGGCACCCTAAAACCTAAACCCTAAACCCTAAACCCTAAACCCTAAACCCTAAACCCTAAACACCTCATATGCTGGATGCTTAAGGGTCAGGGTTCAAGCCTCAGATCTTCCGGGTTCAGAGCTCGGAAGCGCTTCTCTAAACTCAATCGAAGCAAGCCGCCATGAGAAGGGTTCAGGGTTGGGGGGTTTAGGGGGTTTTGGGGGGTTTAGGGGGTTTAGGGGGTTTAGGGGGTTTAGGGGGTTTAGGGGGTTTAGGGGCTTTAGGGGGTTTAGGGGCTTTAGGGGGTTTAGGGGCTTTAGGGGGTTTAGGGGCTTTAGGGGGTTTAGGG